GGTCTGATGAAACCGAGATTGAACTCTTTGGCATGAATGCCAAGCGTCACGTATGGAGGAAACCTGGCACCATCCCTATGGTGAAACATGGTGGTGGCAGCATCATGCTGTGGTGATGTTTTTCAGCGGCAGGGACTGGGAGACTAGTCATGATCGAGGGAAAGATGAACAGAGCAAAGTACAGAGAGATCCTTGATGAAAACCTGCTCCAGAGTACTCAGGACCTCAGACTGGGCTGAAGGTTCACCTTCCAAAATGACAACAACCCTAAGCACACAGCCAACACAACGCAGGAGTGGCTTCAGGACAAGTCTCTGAATGTCCTTGAGTGGCCCAGCCAGAGCCCGGACTTGAACCCGATCTAACATCTCTAGAAAGACCTGAACATAGCTGTTTGCAGCGACCTCCCCATCCAACCTGACAGAGCTTGAGAGGAATATCTGCAGCAGAAGAATGGAAGAATCTCCCCAAATACAGGTGTTGACACGCTTGTCCATCATACCCAAGGAAGACTCGAGGCTGTAATCGGCTGCCCAAAGGTGCTTCCAACAAAGGTATACTGATCCAGGCGTTACCTGAACTACTTATGTCAATGTGATATTTTCCGCTTTTTCTAAACCTGTTTTTGCTTTGCATTATGGGGGGGAAGCTGTGTCAATTGATATTATATATATATATATATATATATATATATCATGGGGAAAAAAGTATGTCACCACCAATTTCAGTCCCCACTAAAAGATAAGACCTGTAATTTCATTAGTGCAACTTCAGACAATTGAGAAACATTCGAAATCACATGTAGGGATTTTATGATTTTTTGCAATTATGGTGGAAAATAATATTTGTCACCTACAAACAAGCAAGATTTCTGGCTCTCACAGACCTGTAACTTCTTCTTTAAGAGGCTCTTCTGTCCTCCACTTGTTACCTGTATTAATGGCACCTGTTTGAACTTGTTATCAGTATAAAAGACACCTGTCCACAACCTCAAACAGTCACACTCCAAACTCCACTATGGCCAAGACCAAAGAGCTGTCAAAGGACAACAGAAACAAAATTGTAGACCTGCACCAGGCTGGGAAGACTGAATTTGCAATAGGTAAGCAGCTTGGTTTGAAGAAATCAACTGTGGGAGCAAATATTAGGAAATGGAAGACATACAAGACCACTGATAATCTCCCTCGATCTGGGGCTCCACGCAAGATCTCACCCCGTGGGGTCAAAATGATCACAAGAACGGTGAGCAAAAATCCCAGAACCACACGGGGGGACCTAGTGAATGACCTGCAGAGAGCTGGGACCAAAGTAACAAAGCCTACCATCAGTAACACACTACGCCGCCAGTGACTCAAATCATGCAGTGCCAGACGTGTCCCCCTGCTTAAGCCAGTACATGTCCAGGCCCGTCTGAAGTTTGCTAGAGTGCATTTGGATGATCCAGAAGAGGATTGGGAGAATGTCATATGAAACCAAAATAGAACTTTTTGGTAAAAACTCTACTTGTCGTGTTTGGAGGACAAAGAATGCTGAGTTGCATCCAAAGAACACCATACCTACTGTGAAGCATGGGGGTGGAAACATCATGCTTTGGGGCTGTTTTTCTGCAAAGGGACCAGGACGACTCATTCGTGTAAAGGAAAGAATGAATGGGGCCATGTATCGTGAGATTTTGAGTGAAAACCTCCTTCCATCAGCAAGGGCATTGAAGATGAAACGTGGCTGGGTCTTTCAGCATGACAATGATCCCAAAACACCGCCCGGGCAACGAAGGAGTGGCTTCGTAAGAAGCATTTCAAGGTCCTGGAGTGGCCTAGCCAGTCTCCAGATCTCAACCCCATAGAAAATCTTTGGAGGGAGTTGAAAGTCCGTGTTGCCCAGCGACAGCCCCAAAACATCACTGCTCTAGAGGAGATCTGCATGGAGGAATGGGCCAAAATACCAGCAACAGTGTATGAAAACCTTGTGAAGACATACAGAAAACATTTGACCTGTGTCATTGCCAACAAAGGGTATATAACAAAGTATTGAGAAACTTTTGTTATTGACCAAATACTTATTTTCCACCATAATTTGCAAATAAATTCATAAGAAATCCTACAATGTGATTTTCTGGATTTTTTTTCCTCATTTTGTCTGTCATAGTTGACGTGTACCTATGATGAAATTTACAGGCCTCTCTCATCTTTTTAAGTGGGAGAACTTGCACAATTGGTGGCTGACTAAATACTTTTTTGCCCCACTGTGTATATATATATATATATATATATATATATATATATATGCGTTTTAAATCCATTTTAGAATAAGGCTGTAACGTAACAAAATGTGGAAAAAGTCAAGGGTTCTGAATACTTTCCTAATGCACTGAACAAAAACATAAACGCAACATATAAAGTGTTGGTCCCATGTTTCATGAGCTGATATAAAATATCCCAGAAATGTTCCATAGGCACAAAAAGCTTATTTCTCTCAAATTTTCTGCACAAATTTGTTTACATCCCAGTTAGTGAGCATTGTAGCCTTTGTCAAGATAATCCATCCACCTGACAGGTGTGGCATATCAAGAAGCTGATTAAACAGCACGATCATTACACAGGTGCACCTTGTGCTGGGGACAATAAAAGGGCACTCTAAAACGTGCAGTTTTGTCACACAACACACTGCCACAGATGTCTCAAGTTTTGAGGGAGCATGCAATTGTCATGATGGCTACAGGATTGTCCATCAGAGCTGTTGCCAAAGAATTCAATGCTTATTTCTCTACCATAAGCCACCTCCGTCATTTTAGAGAATTTGGCAGTACGTCCAACCGGCCTCACAACCGCAGACCACGTGTAACCACGCCAGCCCAGGACCTCCACATCCGGCTTCCTCACCTGCAGGATTGTCTGAGGGGAGGGGGGGCAGGGCGCTGAAGAGTATTTTGGTCTGTAATAAAGCCCTTTTGTGGGGAAAAACTAATTCTGATTGGCTGGGTCTGGCTCCCCATTGGGTGGGTCTATGCCCTCCCAGGCCCACCAATGGCTGCACCCCTGCCCAGTCATATGAAATCCATTGATTTGGGAGTCATTTATTTATTTAAATTGACTGATTTCCTTATATGAACTGTAACTCCGCAAAATCGTTGAAATTATTGCATGTTGCGTTTATATTTTGGTTCTATATATCTACTCATTCAAGGGTTTCTTTTATTTTTACTATTTTCTACATTGTAGAATAATAGTGAAGACATCAAAACAATGAAATAACACATATGGAATCATGTTGTAACCAAAAAATAGTTAAACAAATCAAAATATATTTTAGACTTTAGATTCTTCAAAGTAGCCACCCTTGATGACAGCTTTGCACACTCTTGGCATTCTATCAACCAGCTTCATGAGGAATGCTTTTCCAACAGTCAGAGTTCCCACATATGCTGAGCACTTGTTGGCTGCTTTTCCTTCACGCTGCGGTCCAACTCATCCCAAACCATCTCAATTGGGTTGAGGTCGGGTGATGCAGCACTCCATCACTCTCCTTCTTGGTCAAATAGCCCTTACACAGCCTGGAGGTGTGTTTTGGGTCATTGTCCTGTTGAAAAACAAATGATAGTCCCACTAAGCACAAACCAGATGGGATGGAGTATCGTTGCAGAATGCTGTGGTATCCATGCTGGTTAAGTGTGCCTTGAATTCTAAATAAATCACAGACAGTGTCACCAGCAAAGCACCCCCACACAATCACACCTCCTCGTCCATGCTTCACGGTGGGAACCACACATGGAGATAATCCGTTCACCTACTCTGCGTTTCACAAAGACACGGCGGTTGGAACCAAAAATCTCCAATTTGGACTCATCAGACCAAAGGACAGATTTCCACCAGTCTAATGTCCATTGCTCGTGTTTCTTGGCCCAAGCAGGTCTCTTATTATTGGTGTCCTTTAGTAGTGGTTTCTTTGCAACAATTCAACCATGAAGACCTGATTCACGCAGTCTCCTCTGAATAGTTGTGTAGAGATGTGTCTGTTACTTGAACTCTGTGAAGCATTTATTTGGACTGCAATCTGAGGTGCAGTTAACTCTAATGAACTTATCCTCTGCAGCAGAGGTAACTCTGGGTCTTCCATTCCTGTGGCGGTCCTCATGAGAGCCAGTTTCATCATAGCGCTTGATGGTTTTAGCAACTGCACTTGAAGAAACTTTCAAAGTTATTGACATTTTCCAGATTGACTTACCTTCATGTCTTAAAGTAATGATGGACTGTTGTTTCTCTTTGCTTATTTGAGCTGTTCTTGCCATAATATGTACTTGGTCATTTAATAAATAGGGTTATCTTCTGTATACCACCCCTACCTTGTCACAACACAACTGATTGGCTCAAACGCATTAAGAAGGAAAGAAATTCCACAAATGAACTTTTAACAAGGCACACCTGTTAACTGAAATGCATTCCAGGTGACTACCTCATGAAGCTGGTTGAGAGAATGTCAAGTGTGTGCAAAGCCGTCATCAAGGCAAAGGGTGGCTACTTTGAAGAATCTCAAAAAATAAAGAAAAACCCAGGAATGAGTAGGTGTGTCCAAACTTTCGACTGGTACTTATATATATATATATATATATGATCCCTTACTGTATTTACTAGTAGTAGGTCTCCAAAGGAAAAATATAAATATATGTAATTAGGCACTCTTATTCTAATAATAAGACATAATATCCTTGTACAGTCATTGGGTTTGTGTGGTTTATTGGTTTAACAAAGGGATAATGGGGTTCACCTCCCCTGGTCATCCCTCCAGCAGGGGGAACCAGTACTCGGGGTCTCCAGGACCATCAGAGCAGTGGAGATCTGGAGGGAGAGGAGGTTGGACTAGTTCCCTCAAACTCAACTCTGGACCTAGAAGCCAGTTCCACTGCTTTTTTTTTCTTCATTTTCCCCCTCTAATCACAGACTGATCTAAACCTTGGACACCAGGTAGGTGCAATTATGTATCAGGTACAACAGAAAACCAGAAGGCTCCGGTATAGTATATGGGTGGTAAAGGCCACATGTAGCAAGTCCCTTGTTTAATTACTGGAGGTGTGTGTTTGGAGGGGGGGAGGGGGGGTTCCCAAGGCATGGGTCTCAGGATCTAAAGATGTGAACGGCGCGCACCACATACTGCCTGCAGATGGGGCACTCGTTCATCCGCTTGCCACACTTGGTGCAGGTGACCATGTGGCCGCACTCCAGCAGGACACAGTCAATAGGAGAGTCCATGCAGATCTTACACAGGTTCTCCTCCTGGCCAGGTGTACCACTGGGGTCTGGGAGAAAGAAACAACCACTTATTTATTAAAATCGGAGAGTTATAATACCTATAGTTCATAATTGATTGTTCAAGGCACTTTCACCATTGTTGCGCTATCACCATTGTCATGCCAAACAGATGAGATCAGTCTTTAAGAGTTTAAACTTTCATCTTGGGGAGCTTTGCATGAAGCACAGGGGGGGGAAGAAACTCACCTGTGCCGTCATTTGTATTTGAAACTGGAGGAAACGGGGAAGAAAAAAAGAAAAGAAAAAACTTAATTGAATGATGCAATTCATTTTCAAAGATGTAATAATAAAACAAGCAAGAAATTAAAAAGTTAAGAAATTCCTTGTTGTTTTACAAGATTGAAACCTCAGTAATAGTAAAACACTTTCTTTGAGAGGTATTTAAATTTGCTGCACGTGCCAAGCCTCGAAATCAGACAAACAAATGCACATGCCATATCATTAGATGCCTTTCCATAATTTGTGAAGTTTTGCAAACTACAAACATATTGTGGTGCAGGTTGGGATAGCACGTCGTCATTGAGCCTGCAGTGTTGCTGCCTCGGCTGAAGTGGGTATCGGAGGTTCTAATAATTATATACAGTGCATTCGGAAAGTATTCAGACCCCTTCACTTTTTCCACGTTACAGCCTTATTCTAAAATGGATTAAATTGTCCCCCCCCCCCTCATCAATTTACACACAATATCCCATAATGATTAAGCAAAAACAGGTTTTTAGAAATGTTTGCAAATGTATATAAATAAAAAATATCACATTTACATAAGTATTCAGACCCTTTACTCAGTACATTGTTGAAGCACCTTTGGCAGCGATTACAGCCTCGTGTCTTCTTGGGTATGACGCTACAAGCTTATCACACCTGTATTTGAGGAGTTTCTCCCATTCTTCTCTGCAGATCCTCTCAAGCTCTGTCAGGTTGGATGGGGAGCGTCACTGCACAGCTATTTTCAGGTCTCTCCAGAGATGTTCGATTGGGTTTCAAGTCCGGGCTCTGGCTGGGCCACTCAAGGACATTCAGAGACTTGTCCTGAAGCCACTCCTGCGTTGTCTTGGCTGTGTGCTTAGGGTCGTTGTCCTGTTGGAAGGTGAACCTGCTCCGTTCATCTTTCCCTCAATCCTGACTAGTCTCCCAGTCCATGCCGCTGGAAAACATCCCCACAGCATGATGCTGCCACCACCATGCTTCACCATAGGGATGGTGCCAGGTTTCCTCCATACGTGACGCTTGGCATTCAGGCCAAAGAGTTCAATCTTGGTTTCATTACACCAGAAAATCTTGTTTCTCATGGTCTGAGAGTCCTTTAGGTGCCTTTTGGCAAACTCCCAGCGGGCTGTCATGTGCCTTTTACTGAGGAGTGGCTTCCGTCTGGCCACTCCACCATAAGGGCCTGATTGGTAGAGTGCTGCAGAGATGGTTGTCCTTCTGGAAGGTTCTCCCATCTCCACAGAGGAACTCTGGAGCGCTGTCAGTGCACCCATCTGGTTTTTGGCTAGCTCTTGGAAGAGTCTTGGTGGTTCCAAACTTCTTTCATTTAAGAATGATGGAGGCCACTGTGTTCTTGGAGACCTTCAATGCTGCAGACATTTTTTGGTACCCGTCCCCAGATGTGTGCCTCGACACAATCCTGTCTCTGAGCTCTACGGACAATTCCTTCGACCTCATGGTTTGGTTTTTGCTCTGACATGCATTGTCAACTGTGGGACCTTATATAGGCAGGTGTGTACCTTTCCAAATCATATCCAATCAATCAAATGTACCACAGGTGGACTCCAATCAAGTTGTAGAAACATCTCAAGGATGATCAATGGAAACAGGATGCACTTGAGCTCAATTTCTAGTCTCATAGCAAAGGGTCTGAATACTTATGTAAACAAGGTATTTCTGTTTTTAAACTCTAAAAACCTGTTTTTGCTTTGTCATTATGTAGATTGATGAGGATTTTTTATTTATTTAATCAATTAAGGCTGTAACGTAACAAAATGTGGAAAAAGTCAAGGGGTCTGAACGCTTTCCGAACGCACTGTATATTAGCCCTACAGTAACCTAGCTAAGAGAGAAAGCGAAAACACTGAGCTTCTGTAATAGAAGTCCAAATAGGATGTCTCATATTACACTCCTCTACATTTGAGTAATTCAGCAGATACTCTTATCCAAAACAACGTACTATCTGTGGTGTATCTATTAGTGCACACCGTAGTATTTGCAACAGAATATTTTTTTCAACAAAAAGGAGTTACTTATTGGACAAATTCAGGTATGTCCCTCCCAGTTTCATCCTGTTTGATTCCGTTTCGTTCCTAGTAAACACACCCCAATTCAACTATGATGCCGGTAGGGAAAAAACCCATATATCCCAATCATTTACCCAGATTCTGGAGCTCCTTCTGGTCGTGGTAGAGGCGGGTGACCCTCTCCATTAGCTCCCACTTCTCGCAGCAGCCCTTGTAGTTGACAAAGTTACGGGCCAGGATCTCCTTGAGCTGCCGGACGCTGAGGGCATCGATGTCCTCCGCCGTGGCCAGGTCTGACAGCGACGCCCTGCGGCCTGGCGCCAGCACCTCCTCTGTGTCTGAGGACTGAGCAACAACAAATCAGAGTTGCGTTCAATAGGGACCAATGTTGTGGAACGTTCAGATACATTGTGTTAAGGGCCTGTAAAACGGACATGCATTGATCTGTAACTAACACGTGCATCTAAGAGTAAGGTATCAAGTCAGCTCGATTTGTGACATTTTTAACAGCTATGTTCAGTACGTTGCACCCTCCTGAACGCGCCCCAGTACTTGATGATTGGTGTAATATAGAACATGTAGTGAAAAAGGTTACAGGTTCATTAGAATGGAATGACACAAATGGTAGGCTATTCCTGATTTTCTAAGGTCAGACGGAAATCGTGAACAATCACATCACATTGACAGCCATCATGTTTGAATGTCAGAATGATCGATTAAGAGGAACCCATACACTAACTGTGAACAGGGCCCATACTCATAGAGATTTTCAGAGTAGTACTGATCTAGGATCAGTTTAGCCTTTTTAGATTATTAATAATAACAACATAGATCAGCACTACTGCTCTAAGACGCTTTATGAATACGGGCCTAGAACCTACACCACAAGATTTATTATGGTTCTTTGAGATCTCTAGGTCGACAACTTGCGTGTCATCGTGTGACAACACCAACTATCTTGTTTAGCTATCCCAACCCAAACTGTATTAAGAGGAACAGTGTCAGTCACATGGGTCTTTCACAGCCACAGTGCGGGAAATGGCAACACGCCACATTACATGCCAAAGCTGATATCCATCAGTGGGGATACGAATAGATTAATGCTTGGCTACGCTACAAGGGGAACATCCTGACAGACGGGTGAATAATGGGACACACCATGCAGACATGGGCAGCCAGCCATCGAACAACAAAAAACACTGCTCTACAATGGGACTGTCTGAGCACAATGGCACTGGATGGTCTAAAACAGTCACTAGCCTTATGTCCTACAGTGAGTAAACTAAATATATAGGCCTAGCGATAGGGTTCTCTAAACTCACCATATCATGTCAAGAAGAGACACCCTTTCAATTTTATTTTTATTTTTTTTAAAGTCTGAAATTACACTTGTCCTTCAGCCAATGTGTCCAGTGAAAACGCAGACCATATCTTGACCCCATATTGAACCCTTGCTTACTCTATCACAGCTGTATCTTAACACTTTCAATCATCCTATAGCCTAATGGCATGTGCCAAAGATTAATACATTAAAACATGTAGTGTAATACATGTTGGCTAAAATGTACATACTCAATACGGTAACGTCTTAAAATTACATTTGAAATTAAAATGATAAATTAAAAGGTAAAATTGTTTCGAAACCCCTTACATTATCCCTCGTCTATCTCCACCTCGTATTTGACCAAAACCTAACCAACCCCGGGCCTTCTGACACCCTTTCAAAACCCCATCACCGCCAACATGACAGGCGAGAATGATAGATTAACTATGAATAGATGGCAGACTGGCACAGAAACCAAGAACAATAAACATATACGACACTCCTCTTTCTGATATTTACAATGATCCAACCAACAGTTCTAAATCCAAAGTTTCCACCATTAACCAGAGAGGTTGTGCGGATTTGCAAACAAATAATACAACGGTCAACTTCCTTAATTTAGTTAATATTTAACATAGTAAGTCGTAGTAAATCTGTCATATTGACCTTTACCTTTTCTGAGAATGCTAGCCTTTAATAACTTCCTGCCAAAGCAGGTTCTGGTCATCACAGTTAAAAGCTTAGAGGAGGAAACCCATCTTGCATCAATGGAGTTCAAATCTGGTAAATGTCATAGGCCTCTATTTCACAGAACGTTTGCTCTCATTCTGTATAGGGCGCACATAGTAAAAACTCAAATCTATCTAGTAACCTAAGCAGGTTCTGAGACCCATCTGAGATCAGGGCCTGTATTCATGAAGCGTCTCAGAGTATGAGCCAAGAACTGTGAAATACTTTTCTAGATAAAGGGACCTTGAAAACCCTTTTAGCAGCATTAGCGCAGCCTCACTTAGATTTTTTGGTTGTGTGCACTACCTGGTACAGTAGTTCCTCAAGAACAAGCTACAGACAGCTCGGAATAAAATGGTAAGGGTCATTCTGAATCTTAGCCCTCAGGCTCATGTTGGACCTTCTCAGCTCTGTGAACTACAGTGGCTAATGTTGATAAAAGGGTTATTCAGCTGAAGTTGGAATTGGCCCATACAATCATGTAGGGTACTGTTCCCCAGTATCTAGTATCACGAGAGGCAGTAATACAGACTTGGGGCGGCAGGTAGCTTAGTGGTTAAGAGCGTTGTGCCAGTAACCGAAAGGTCGCTGGTTCTAATCCCCGAGCCGACTAGGTGACAAATCTGTCGATGTGCCCTTGAGCAAGGCACATAACCCTAATTGCTCCTGTAAGTCGCTCTGGATAAGAGCGTCTGCTAAATGACCAAAAAATAAAAAATAAAAATGTAGAGTCGAGAGCTGTACTGGTCAAAACACATTTTTATATACGTCAGTGGTAGAGTGGAACAAACTCCCGTCTGAGATAAAAACTGTTTCTGCCAGTCTTAGGTTCAACCACTCCTGCAAGGCATGGTTAATGTTGAGATAGCCTCCTAGCCAAGTGTAAACCACAATGTGTTAGTGGATGATTATTAGATGTGTATATTTTATATTTTGTATACCTTTAAATATTTGGACACATTGAATGAATCTATGGCAGTGCCCATGTAACTTGTTTTTTTAACTACAGCCCTTGCCTTCAAATAGAGGACATTTACATTACATTTTAGTCATTTAGCAGACGCTCTTATCCAGAGTGACTTACAGTTAGTGAGTGCATAAATTTTTTCATACTGGCCCCCCGTGGGAATCGAACCCACAACCCTGGCGTTGCAAGCGCCATGCTCTACCAACTGAGCTACACATGACCTAAACTGAGCTACACAGGACCACAAAGGAAACAAGTCTTTAGACTGTGTTTATAATCCTCAGAAATGTTTGTATATGTATCTGTTGCAACATTTTGATGTATTTTAAAATAAAATAAAATCAAGTGCTGATCTAAAAATCAGCTATTGTTTTGTCTTTTAGACTAATGAATCAGGGGGGAGCTGATCCTAGATCAGCACTCCTTTTTTTATTTGATTTTATTTATTTAACCAGGTAAGTCAGTTGAGAACAAGTTCTCATTTACAACTGCGACCTGGCCAAGATAAAGCAAAGCAGTGCGATGAAAACAACAACAACACAGAGTTACACATGGGATAAACAAAACGCACAGTCAATAACAATAGAAAATCTATATACAGTGTATGCAAATGTAGTAAGTTATGGAGGTAAGGCAATAAATAGGCCATAGTGCAAAATAATTACAATTTAGTATTAACACTGGAGTGATAGATGTGCAGAAGATGATGTGCAAATAGAGATACTGGGGTGCAAGTGAGCAAAATAAATAACAATGTAAATAACAATATGGGAATGAGGTAGTTGGGTGGGCTAATTACAGATGGGCTGTGTACAGGTGCAGTGATCGGTAGGCTGCTCTGACAACTGATGCTTAAAGTTAGTGAGGGAGGTAAGAGTCTCCAGCTTCAGAGATTTTTGCAGTTCGTTCCAGTCATTTGCAGCAGACAACTGGAAGGAATGGCGGCCAAAGGAGGTGTTGGCTTTGGGGATGACCAGTGAGATATACCTGCTGGAGCGCATACTACGGGTGGGTGTTGCTATGGTGACAAATGATCTAAGATAAGGCGGGGATTTGCCTAGAAGTGATTTATAGATGACCTGGAGCAAGTGGGTTTGGCGACGAATATGTAGTGAGGGCCAGCCAACAAGAGCGTACAGGTCACAATGGTGGGTAGTATATGGGGCTTTGGTGACAAAACGGATGGCACTGTGATAGACTACATCCAATTTGTTGAGTAGAGTGTTGGAGGCTATTTTGTAAATGACATCGCCGAAGTCAAGGATCAGTAGGATAGTCAGTTTTACGAGGGCATGTTTGGCAGCATGAGTGAAGGAGGCTTTGTTGCGAAATAGGAAGCCGATTTTAGATTTAACTTTGGATTGGATATGCTTAATGTGAGTCTGGAAGGAGAGTTTACGGTCTAACCAGACACCTAGGAATTTTTTGTGGTCCACATATTCTAAGTCAGACCCGCCGTGAGTCGTGATTCTAGTCGGGCAGGCGGGTGCAAGCAGCGTTCAATAGTTTTACTAGCGTTTAAGAGCAGTTGGAGGCCACGGAAGGAGTGTTGTATAGCATTGAAGCTCGTTTGGAGGTTTGTTAACACAGGCCAGATGTATACAAAATTGTGTCGTCTGCGTAGAGGTGGATCTGAGAGTCACCAGCAGCAAGAGCGACATCATTGATATACACAGAGAATAGTGTCGGCCCGAGAATTGAACCCTGTGGCACCCCCATAGAGACTGCCAGAGGTCCAGACAACAGGCCCTCCGATTTGACACATTGAACTCTGAGAAGTAGTTGGTGAACCAGGCGAGGCAGTCATTTGAGAAACCAAGGCTATTTAGTCTGCCAATAAGAATGTGGTGATTGACAGAGTCAAAAGCCTTGGCCAGGTCGATGAAGACGGCTGCACAGTACTGTCTTTTATCGATCGCGGTTATTATATCGTTTAGGACCTTGAGCGTGGCTGAGGTGCACCCATGACCAGCTCGGAAACCAGATTGCATAGCGGAGAAGGTACGGTGGGATTCAAAATGGTCGGTGATCTGTTTGTTACTCTGAGATGCTTTATGAATACAGGCCCAGAGCTAAGGAGAGGAAGCCCATCGCTGCTATAGTAGTACCATGGCTAGGGCCAAGAGTTTTTCTTCACCACGTGACACAACCAGGGAAAAACTCCTGGCCCTAACAATGGCGATGCTTTCAAGATCAGGGTCAGGCTGTAGTACCTGTAGCTCTGTGTCTCCCTGCAGCACTGTATCTCCCTCAGTGTCCAGTGGCTCCTCAGGACCCGAGGGCACCAACACAGACGGGGTCTACGAGCAAAAACCCACCACACACCCAAAACACTATATTAGCGAGCTAGAGTTAGCCATGTTCTAACTGGAAGGGCCACACAGAAAGTAGGTAATCTATTCTCAAGCTATTGTTAATGCTACGTAACTCAAAAAGTGAGGCGATGGACAAAATGGTAAATGAATGGTTGACAGATAAACAGGGGTAAGGGGTTAGTCGTGTGTGGTATGGTGGGTTCGGGCCTCACCTGACTGTCCTCCTGAGTGGGTGGCGGCTGTGAAGGGACATGGTCTGTGGAGGTGGATGTGGAGTCGGGGTGTGTGGGGGTGGTGGTGGGGGCTGGAGGAGGAGTTGTCTCATGCTGGGTCGCGGTGGGGGTCTGTGTTTGGGTCAGAGGGTTTATGATTGGGTCAGAGGGTGACGGTGTCTGCTGTCCCAGGACCAGCTCCACCAGTTCCTCTTTCTCACGGCACATCTGCGTTGAGACCTCGTGCAGGTGGAGGTAGTCGCGCAGGTCCTTCACCTTGAGCTTCATCAGCTCGGTTCGCTCAAAAAGCGTGCCGTGGAACCGCTGGCAGGTATGGCAAAGGCGCGGCCGGGGCTCAAGCTGGGCCGAACACCTACCGCAGTAGTTCTTCTTGCAGTCCACGCAGACATGCTGCGGAGAGAGAGAGGAGACCGACACACAATGACTATCAATCATGTGTCTGCTAGCTGATTTTCCTCCTTGGCCGTTACAATTCCCAACTGAAACTTATTCAGAAATAACAATTTCACAAAACAGTAAATGATGGGGCCAAAAGAGTTCCTTTTAAAACTTGTCCCAGACTTTGCGCCAACTCTAGCTGCAACTTGACACCGACAACATAATCTTGCACTGAGGCCGGTTCAGGTACAGAAAAGTACATAACCATTGCATTGGTTTCACCCTTTTCATGCCTCCACTAGATAATGGATGTATTGAAGGGTGTGGAAAAAAGCTAAGAGCTGACTGGATACTCAGAGTCTAGCCTTGAGGACTGGCGTATTGCTGGTTCTCTTTTCTCGGCAAGCTAGCCGTTCCAGTAGACTTCCGGTCATTGCACTAACACTAGTTAGCATGGTCTCACGAAACTACCTCTAACTTCATTTATACTGGACACAGAGACATAAAAATTTTATCCATGAGTTCATCCGACACTGGGTAAGTAGAAATTGCCAGAATCTCGCAATATCCCTTTAATCAATGTTGATCAATTTCTAATTGGCCAGGTCTGAATCAACCACTGATTAGAGAGGAAGGATGAAAAACCTGAAGTGCAACAGATCTTAAAGCCCGGATTTGGGAAAGGGTGGGCTGAGAGGATTTTAGGTACCTTTCTGGCTAGGGTGACGAAGCGGCTTCCGCAGGCTTTGCACGTGTGTTCCGGGAGTGGGGGCGACGGGTAGCTGTTGTAGCCTGAGTTAGTATAGGCCTGGTGACGCGTGCTGCTGTTGCTCTCCTCCACCATGGCAGTGTCCAGACAGAACCAGTTACAGCAGGACGTCCACATGCTCCACACCTGGAAACACACCGGCTCTTAGATGGGCTCCCCACCTGGGGACACACACACACACGTGTTAATATGGATCGAGTAGGTTAGTGAAGACAGACCACAGAGTTAAGAGTTTGGGGGAGAAACAGAAAAGAGAGTAAGGAGTCTGGAGAGGGGTTGAATGGGTAAGACCATGAACAGAGTGAGTGAGTAGTAAGTGACTAAAGAGGCAGGGCAAACTTGAGAGCAATTTGAAGGGCATGAGTAAAGCCTGGGGTGATGTAGTGGAGAAAGAGCTGTAGGAGAGGTTGAAGAGGTAGGCTAGGCTATAAGAAAAACAACTGTAGTGCTGATGTTACAGTGCAGTGGTATTATGTTCGGACGTGCAACGTCGTATACGGCTCGATCAATGACACTGGGATTGCAATTTAAATGAGAGATGTGAAGTGAACGGCGGTTGCCTCAAACGTTTGTCAGTAAGGAGAGCAGGTAGCTGGCTTTTGGCTAACAGAAGTAGGGCTCCCATCATTAATTTAGAGCTTGTTTGCAGTCAGAGCTGCAGGAGCACAGGCTGGTGGGGTGGTATGCGAATTGGAGTGGGTACAGGGGGTCTGGGATAATGGTGTTGATGTGAGCCATGACCAGCCTTTCAAAGCATTTCACTGCTACAGATGAGTGCTACGGGGCGATAGTCATTTAGACAGGTTACCTTGGCGTTCAGTAGGAGTGCTGATCTGGGATCAGGTCCACCTGGCCATGCAATATTTAAGCAATAAGGCCAGAGGCAGTGTGGTATATGGCCACGCGTGTCTGGATACAGCCATTAGCCGTGGTATATTGGCCATATACTCACTAACTGTAAGTCGCTCTGGATAAGAGCGTCTGCTAAATGACTAAAATGTAAATGTAAAATACCACAAACCCCAGGAGGTGCCTTATAAATTGGTTAGCAACATAATTAGAACAGTAAAAATAAAATTTTTTTGTCATATATCACTGCGTTCAGCAAATCAGCATTTATGGCGCGAACCACCCAGTTTATAATATTCATTATGATCTAAAAGGTCAAACGGATCCTAGATCAGCACTCTTACTCTGAAACGCTTTATGAATACATACAGGCCCAGGTCTTACTTACTTAAGGTGAGGTCTACGAACTAGCTTTAGGCTATCTCTCTCATGAATTGACGATAGGATTGATCCGTTTTCAATCCAGTAAGAAGACGAAAATTCTATTCAATTCAGGAGTTGCACAATCTCATAGAAATAGTAAACATGTCATCATCCACTGCAGGGCCAATTCTCAGTCACTTGTTTATGCTCTGGGTCCCCTGTGGAGCTCAATAATAGCTAGGCTACACACAAACACATTGCCATAGAGACCAAAACAAGACAGACCTAACAGCACCTACCAAACAGCAAGGCAGATCCACATCAAAAGCTGCTGCTAAGGAAATGCCTGCCACCAGACTGCATCAAGTGGAGAACATCTGAGTGAAAAGTGACTGGGTGCCTCAAGCATCCAGGGGCCAACTGCAAAGGTTTCACACCTGAATGCAGTGCAGAGTTAAGGACGCATAGTTGTACAATGAAGGAATCCCTTGTAAAACTAACGTTAGTCTGACTATGTCCATGCAATGTTTCATTTTTTGATTGATAATAATACATAGTGAAAGACAGCTGTCTCCCCCACATTATTCTAAAGTAGTAGCCTACAGGCTAGTAGGCCTATTCTGCCCGGATATAGGCTAGCTTACCCTATCAATGGTAAGCAACAGTTGGATGGAAAATCAAACTCAAAATACAAACATCACACCCAGTTTACATAAGATGTAGACTGGCTTTAGTGGCGTAGGTCAGAGTAGCCCAAGATGTACTCTGAAGGAGCGGTTATTTTCAGAGCTAGACTGGCTCTGGCAGCCAAAACAGCCAAGTACTCCATCTAAACGTGAGTCGATTATCAATTGCGATACGGTTCTAGAAACATAAAGCCCTTTACTTTCAGATCACAAAATAATTTCACAAATGCAAAATAGATACTCACTGTACACCACAGGAGGTTGGTGGCACCTTAATTGGGGAGAACGGGCTCGTTGTAATGGCTGGAGCAAAATCAGTGAAATGGTATCAAATACATCAAACATGGTTTCCATGTGTTTTTTTGCCATTCCAGCCATTATTATGAGCCGTCCTCCCCTCAGCAGCCTCCACTGCTGTACACTGTTTAACTGGCTTTATCACAGTTGCAGCCGAGAGTATTTTTCAGTGACTACACGTTTCTGGCATTCTAATAATTAGTACAGGTGATCCCTCTGTCTTCCGTAAACACACGCTGTAACATGGATATATGGCCGTGTGGGAACACTAACCATATAAAAAGTGTATAAATGTAACGTTTTTGGAAAATTCTTTCTCGCTGATATGAAAGATCCTTATGCTTCCAAAACCGTACGGCAAGCGAAGCGTGTTAATGTTCAGACCGAGCGTCGGGACTCTTCACAAAACTCCACGTACTTAAGACGCATTCGTCCAATGAATATGACTTGTGTAATGTAATGCAACTGAGAGGCCAGGGTAGACTACTCAAAACCCCACACAGTAAGTTTGTCTCAATAGTCACTGTTTACACTACAATATGCTTTACGTATACCGTTTTTAACATACCTAGTTAGTTAGGTTTAGTGGACACTTTCATTAAACTTTTGTAACAGCAATAGTTACATGGTCGCAAAGTCCAAAACAACAGACATAATACGGTCCAAAATCAAAACCAATATCGCCACCCATATACACTGTTTGTAGTTAACGTTAGCCACCACACTCAGAAAGAGCCACAGAACCAAAACATGGTGAGGGACGTCCCCGTACTGATAGACACGCCGTCATCTTCCCAAAGAAATGTTTAGTAAGACCGGAAAGAAAGCAGTAACTTTAGATTCGAAATCAATGTAGCTAACTATTCTCTTAATACGTTTTTCCATTAATCTGCTGTTGTCAGTCACTTGGTTTCCTACTAGCAGACCACAAAAAGTTAGTTTACTACCTTGCGTTACCAATACATTTGAGCTGTTCAGATACTAGCGAACGCAGACCATCTGCCCATAATAGAATAGCTGGCTAGCTAGCTGTTGCTGCTAACTTTATCGAGTTGAAATTATCGAAATAGCTACCTCGACACGAAGCCCGGGGTCGTGAGATGCGTGCCAGCTGGCAAGTAGCTCGCTAGCTGTGGAGCTAACGTTGTTAGCTAATGTTCTCCAATACTCACAAAATGACAAGGAATAAATCGAAGTTAGCTAGCTGAAGTGAAACAGGAAGAAAGTGCTTCTAGCCAGTGACATTCCCCGGGCCAGTTTCTATCGCCCCAGAGAGTTGCTGATGCGCGTGCACGTACATTTCGAATCATCGCTAGTTGAAAAGGTTTGAATGTAGACACGCACGAAAGTTCTCATACATTTTGCATTTATTTTATTTCCAGGGAAGTAGTGTCCTCTGGACATTTTTAGCAGACGCTCTTATCCAGGGCGACTTACAGTTAGTCAGTGCATACATTTTTCAAACTGGCCCCCCGTGGGAATCGAACACACAACCCTGGCGTTGCAAGCGCCATGCTCTACCAACTGAGCTACAGGAGGCCAGGACGACGGGAATAATTAATAAAGAGTCCCCAACAACTTCAAGTTATTACACGCTATCAATTACATTGCAAATCAACATCAAAACTTGTAAACCCATTGGTTTATCCAGAATGTATCTGCCACTATTTGATTGTAGCAGTAAAACAGTACTATTTCCAGGGAAGTAGTGTCCTCTGGTGGACACTAATAAGACGACGGGAATAATTAATAAAGAGTCCCCAACAACTTCAAATTATTACATGCTATCAATCACATTGCAAATCAACATCAAAACTTGTAAACCCATTGGTTTATTCAGAATGTATCTGCCACTATTTGATTGTAACAGTAAAACATAGTACTGCAAAGGATGGTCCTCTGTAGCTCAATTGGTAGAGCATGGCGCTTGTAACGCCAGGGTAGTGGGTTCGATCCCCGGGACCACCCATATATAAAAATGTATGCACGCATGACTGTAAGTCGCTTTGGATAAAAGCGTCTGCTAAATGGCATATTATGATTATCACGGGTATTCACCATCATACAGTGCCTTAAGAAAGTATTCATACCACTCGACTTCTTCCACATTTTGTTGTTACAGCCTGAATTCAAAATGGATTCATTAGATTTTTTCCTCACCCATCTACACCCAATACCCATAATGACAAAGTGAAAACATGTTTAGAGAAATGTTTGCATTTACAAAAAGATCTCATTTACATAAGTATTCACACCTTTGGCAGCGATTACAGCTGACCAGACTGCTCCAGGAGACGTGGACGATGAAGTGGATTGTGAATCTAATGGCGGTAGAATCAAGGTGGATTGGTGTATTGTTCAAAACAATGGAAAAATTAGCAAAGTAGGGTACAGTGCGGAGAATGTCCCTTTATATCTTGTAAGAGTAAGGTTTGTTAATGAGGAGCATCTTATCGAAATACCAATCTTGAAGAATCCATTTGAGCTATCCAAACTGGTGGCGAAGAGTGATGGGTAAAGTGAAGGATGTGAGGATCGCGAGAGGCACGTTTGTTTTGATTTTTTGTACTTCTGCGGATCAAAAGGAACGTGTGTTGCGGCTCCCCCGATTTGAAAAGTTTGACGTGTCGTGTGTGTCTCTTACGAACAGGGCACCCCTCAAGGAGGTAATATCTGGCGTCTCGTGGGAAGTCGATGTTAAAGAGATGAAAAATATTCCTGGAGTGATTGATGCACGTTGGATGAATCGAGTGGTGAATGATGAAAACATGAAGAGTTTATCTGTTATTTCGTTTTTTTGATATGGAGTCTCTCCCTATTCAAGTGCAGTTGGGGTATATAAACTACAAAGTCAGAGCATTTATCCCAAGACCAATGCACCAATGCAGTGTGATCACTGTAAAGCTTTTGGTCATGTGTCAAGGGTTTGCA